AAGTTATGCATCATTAGACAGACTGAAAGAAAATATACTACCATGCTTAAATTTGAAGTTGATGGTGTTGTAGAACAAAGCTATAAGTCTCCGGACATTTTCGTAGTTAGAAAATATGAAGATTATTAGAAGGACAATATAGTTTATACCGCTGGGTTTCCTGTGGGAGGTGTATGGAATGTTTGTTCACAGACTTGCGTCGCGCTCTTCACTCCGTTAACCTGTTGGGTTTGAAGTGAAAGGGGTACTTGAGCCTCGTGTCTTGCCAGACACCCTGTCGGGGACTGTAGTCGGGTATGTGGGTGGGAGTCGGTCTCTGGGTCTTAGAGGTCAGGGTGCGAGGGCTAGGGCACAAAGAGAAGGCCACCAGTCAACGAGGCTGGAGAGAGGAGGGCACATTGGGGTGGATCGGGTAGCCGTAGCGGTGCGGCGGGGGGAAGATTAGATGACATAACAGCCACGCATATTTACTACGTCATATTCTCATCACGTGCGGTGGATAGGGGATATCCTTGATGACATAAGGGGTCCTGTTATAATAACCCATAACACCCCGGGTGTGGTGAAAAAAATGAAAGTGAATATTTGGGAGATTAGGAGAACAGACACATGCCCCTTTAAGACATTTGGCGGCACCAGTGGTTGGTGGGGTGGCGATATCCCCGTCCTAACGAGTAAGACGTTTGGCGCTATATACGAGCCACCCTTGGGATCTCTACGGGATAGTTGAGACATCTCAGACATGTCAAACACCCTCAGGATAATGCTTTAGGTATTAAAGGTGGATCTTACTCACTTGAAGATTATATACATACCTCTAACATTTCCTTATTCTTGTAAACATGTTGAAAATACACCTACAAATCATTATATTCACTGCCAGGAAACAGTTCGTTACAGACCAGTGCCAATCCTTGGTTTTGGGCCTTAAGTGTTAGCGACAGGTCTCTGACTAGTAATATCGGTACAATACCAAATTTCAAATTTATACCTACTCTTACTCCTACTATTCGATGGAATGTTTTTGAGAGATAAAATTTCACAGGTGGTAAGAAATGAACATATCAGGGCCCTGTTCCTCAAAGCGATCGTAGCGCTACGACTGTCGTAACTCCCATACTTTAACATAGACTTACGACAGTCGTAGCACTACGACTGCTTTGTGGAACGGGCCCCAGTTCTTAATAAAATTAGGTCAGTAGTATTGCTACACGTGTTATATTTGGGATTACAATTTCTCAGTAAAGTGCAGAGGGTGTTGGTTCTAATACCGGATGGGACTCAACCCAACAAAAGTACTAGATCTGTATTTTACTGTGAAAGTGTAATCCCAAATATAACATGTTACATTTGACGACTTTCTAAATGACAGTGTGTATATATAGGTATTGCTAATTTACTATCCAATAATTATGAAAGTAAATATCAGTTGAAATTTCAAATCAGATGTTTTATCCGTACTCTCGTACAGGCAAAACAGGATTACGTATTCTTCGACGGTCTGTGAAACATGACCGACGCGTTTCGGTAAAACAAGACAATAATTTGGAGAGATTGTTAAAAAATATGTTCAGGTCTAAGATTTATGCTTCTTAATTACGACAGGCTCCCGTTTAGTGCTCGCAGATAGATCCTCGTCTCCCAGTCCTCTCTAGGGAGGTCTTAGGATTGCGTTCCCTGTAGTCGGGTAATGCAAATACGCAGATAAGATCCGTCGACATGAGTTTTCAATATTGAATTTTCATATGTCAAGTTTTAAACTGCACTGAATAAAGGCGAGGGCAGGCTTGCGGGAACCAGAACCCTTCTTTCTATAAAACCCGATCATTTTTCTTTCTCCTGAAGTAATCTCATTCTGTGAAGCAGTCGTGTTGAAAGCAGTATTTTATTGTTTCGGACGGCACCAATGGCGGCAGGTTTCAGATCGGTGTGTTGTGAATGGGATCAAGTATCGGGTAGACTGGATGTTTTCGTACCTTGAAAAAGGCCCGGCAAGTGTAATGTAGGTTTGAGCTCTGACAATAAAACTCAAAACCCAGTGTGTTAGACGCCAGCAGGAAAAGGATTGTTTGTAGACCTGTGTTCCATTTGTATTATTTCTGTTTCAGTATTTCGCATTTTGTATATTCCGTTTTAAAATGACATGTCGTGTTGTGTTGGCTTTAAAATAAGTGCAGTTCTGATAGATGGATTTGCGCATATCTAATATAAACGTCAAAGTGTTTCTAAAGGAGGAGGTGAAATATGGTGTTGAAGATATGTTGTCATTTTCAGTGTTCTGTTATTACTTATTATATATCAACATGTTATGAAATGTACATGCGGAATAAAGTCAAGCCCATTAATTATAACCTTATGGTAAAAGTAGATGTCGTTAAACAGACATTATCGATACCGGTTGTATAGAGTATTGACTCTTAAGACATGTTGTTAAGAAACGTGTGTTTTTTCAGGTCTGTTTTAAATTAACTTTTGCCACAAAAACACGACATGCAATAACATGTGCGCTTTGGGTTAAGGTGACAGTACAGAGTGAGTGAGTGAGTGAGTTGAGTTTTACGCCGCACTCAGCAATATTCCAGCTATATGGCGGCGGTCTGTAAATAATCGGATCTGGACCAGAAAATCCAGGGATCAACAGCATGAACATCGATCTACACAAATGGCATGCGATGACATGTGTCAACCCAGTCAGCGAGCCTGACCACCCGATCCCGTTAGTCGCCTCTTACGACAAGCATGGGTTACTGAAGGTTCATTCTAACCAATGAAGCACCGTTGTGTCGAACTCTGATGTGTCGAACTATGATGGGTCGAGCATACGGCTGCCTCCAAGTGAAGGCTTGGTCAATGCGATTTCCTTATTATTTACTTAGGTCCCTTCAACTTCGACACAGTGGTGTTTGGTGGTATGTGTACATTGAAACCCTCTTAACTCGAACAGAGGGACCATACCGTTAGGTTCGTGTAACAGCATTCATTTCCAGAGCTCAATATGTGTCGTAACAAGACTACGATAATGCATAATAATACATGCGTTTATAGAACGTAGCGATTTACAACCTTCTTGTGTTTTGTACGCAAGCAGAGACTTTAACGCTGGAACGTGTAGTACAGATAACGAACGAGTCTCTAGCTGGGATTTGAAAGAAGACAGTGGTAGCATTTTTGATAGCATCTGGAAGACAGTTCCATTTAGCTGCTACTGTGAAAGAAAACATCTTTTTACAAAAGTAGAAGATTTAAATCTGAAAAAAGCTAATGGTCATTATGAAATACCCAGAATGCCAAGATATAGGATCTCTATTTTTGTAGGTTTGACTTCCTTGTATAATACCAGTAATCTAAAACTTAACTCGAACATTTTAATCCGCGGCCTTTGGTATGAGGTGCCATGTTACACGGGGCGACGTCTTTTGTTGACCCCGTAGTCCAGCATACTTGAGGGAGGGGAAGTTGGGGGTAATCTGACTCGTGGGAGGGGGACAACTGGACGCTGTCCACACACCCCACCTCCTCCATTGTAGTGGAGGTCAGATTACATGACCTGTAGGCGTAAGGCTTGACCCTTGACCTGACCCGACTCGTGATCACACGTCACCCTTGACATTTGGCGCAAGGTCAAGGATATGCTGTTGTTATTAGGGAATGATTGAATGCAATCAGAGTGGACACGGTGGGTTTGATGGTGATTGTTTGTAACATGCTGACACGTGTTTAATGGCTATCGTCGTTAAGATATGCGCTGTCCAATTACTATTTGTTCAGTAGTTTTAAATTTAATGTGAAACTTTAAGAATGGGACCTTGGTTTGCGCTCTGCTTCAGCATCGTGTAATTGTACTAATATCAGTGCCATCAAACATGTAAATTTATTTGATTTATATTCAGAGTTAGTTGTATTTAAAATCACAGCACTTCAACAGCTAAGACAGGAATGGCCAAGTGATAAAACGTGGCCCTTTATCATATATAATGTACGACCTGAAATTAAATATACACGATAACGTATATACACTGAACATTAAAATATTTTAATATAATCATATCGGGTAAATATGAACGTATACTCACTAGCTCTTCCTGTGATACTATGCTCGGAGGCTCACGGTACTCACTAACTCTCCATGTGATACTATGCTCGGAGGCTCAAGGTACTCACTAACTCTCCCTGTGATACTATCCTCGGAGGCTCACGGTACTCACTAACTCTTCCTGTGATACTATGCTCGGAGGCTCACGGTACTCACTAACTCTCCCTGTGATACTATGCTCGGAGGCTCACGTTTGAGTCATCTAAGGAGCCGAAATTCACTTTTCAGCGATGCGTCTCTCGGGCGTGTCAGAACCTATGGTGATGAGTTCAAATCCAATATTCGCCATAATTACGTTTCTAGATTTGTAGGGGCGATGGGGTAGCCTAGTGGTTAAAGCGTTCGTTCGTCACGCCGAAGACCCGGTTTCAATTCCCCACATGGGTACAATGCGTGACGCCCATTTCCGGTGTCCCCCGCCGTGATATTGCTGGAATATTGCTAAAACCGGCGTAAAACTAAACTCACTCACTCTAGGTTTGTAAGCTCGTTGGTTTTGACAAAGGCCTTCACAGCAAGTAAAGATGAAACCATATTCGTGTGATTGAAGAAAGTATTTTTAAAGAGATAAAATCGTTTTCATGATATGAAATCCCCCATTACAGACCACTGTACGATCCCAACTATATCGCAAGTACGCGATCAAATGGTGACGATACCAGAAATTTGCGAAAACATGAGCTTATCCTATTCTATAGGTTCTACAGGTAGCAACCTTCACTTACGCACGCAACGCACGCAACGCAAAGCCAAATGTTTCCCCGAATCAACGCGGAACAAATGATGTATGTATATGATGATGTATGACAAATATCGACATTGCTGTTGGACGTAAACTCAAAGCCGATATAGGACTCAGAGGTTTGCCTAATGTGAAAATCACTAAACTAAGGACCATAACACACAGTGAGATGCATATTTGACCACGCATCCCTGGCTTCTATGCACGGGTTTCATAGTGGATGCAGAACAAGCGCCAGTATCTCTGTTGACAATCGTCCTGTGATGTCATCGATAAAATGCTTCCAGTGTACGTACTCATGCTGGTATTATTTGAATGATCCTCTAGTCACGAAGACGTCATTCTGGTTGTCTTATTTTGTCAACAAGCACGCCAAACCCACATACAACCATCACGAGCAACATAGCCATATTGATATCCCGATTGTCTTCAATCGCTTCCATGACATTTTTGAAGGTAAGGAGGGGTGTCAACAAGTTCGTTGATTCGCAGGTAACTGAACCGAATGACCCATAGCAGACGTAAAGGGGTACCAGCCAGTATTTCCTCATGTACATCAACGTTTACAACTACCACAGCTTGGCAGTGCAAGTGGGGTTGACCTCTGCCCAAGAATACCCTCCGCAAATATATACAAGATTGACACAGCTTCGATAATCGCTACTGACTATTTAAATGTTGTCTTGTTGGGCGTCTGTGGTTAACAAAGAGAACATGTCGTCTGCTGGTTGTACGAGCAGACGACATATCCACCCTTGCTCCGTGCATTGTATATCCCGCCTGTTCCTGCCTCAAATACGCCAAGTTTTTTCATGCACGCATGTAGTCTAATCTATGATGTCGCCACTGTCTGTTAAAGCCGCCTCGCCCTTGTACCCGGGCCGTGACGCACCATTGTATAGATATCGTTGTCAACTACGTACTAACGCGCGCATGTTTGCAAACTAACATGCCGAGACAAAGATGTCCGTTTGACAGGACCGCCTCCATTTAGTACCCAATGTAGCGCGCGTGGACGTCTTTACATGCTAGTTGACTTTAACAGCGATAGACACAGGGTAGCTTCAAATCCGGCCAGACGCAATTCCAAGCATGCCTCGAGAGGCCAATGTAACCCCAGTCGCTGGTACACCTTTTCTTGTATACACCCCTTAAGGGAACTCCACCCTTACCCCCTGCTGACACACCCTCACAGACAAGGAGCCTCAGAAGGTGCCACGACACCAAATAGCTAGGTGTGGATGCATATCTATCTCTCTGTGTGTGGCTTACGAACCTAGGTACGAAACAGTACGAAACGGGTATTGAGTTTGAGACGATTGTTCGTTTTGAAGGAGTGAGTGAATATGGTTTAACGCCGCTTTTAGCTATATTTCTAGCAATGTCCAGCGTTACTTACTCACTCACACTCGCTGTATCCATAGGGGGTTTGAAATCGGCCCTTCAGTTTTACAAACAAACAATAAAGCTTCCCCACCTCCCCGATGGTTGTCGTAACTTCTCGTAGATATTCAGTTCTATCCTGTCGCTGACATAAAACAGTATGGTTTCACGCCCCCTACACCATAATGACGGAGGCAGGTAAAAGAAATGGCCTTTACAGTGTGTACCCAAGTGGGGAAACGAACTCCAGCAAGGACGGACCACTGAGCAAGAGTAGGTTGCGCCAAACTGAAGGTCAAATTCACTCCGATCATCGTAGGTAAGGAACAACAATGTGGTAGACATGAACCCCTTGCACACGTACGCTTGGAAAATAGGATTTAATGCAGACGTAATCTGGATAATCGAGGGTCTCTATCCACTCCACAGTTACCGACGCTTATGACCAGCACTGAAGTGTCAATGCTGAAGGTCAAGACGCGAGACTTGAAGTTACCTTGGATAACAACGAGTGGGTATGGTTCACGCCGGTTGTAGCAGTATCACACAAATGGGACACCAAAGTGCTGCCCAGGCTCTGTGTGACCACGACTACGTCACCCTAGGTTCTTGACTGTAGCACGTTTTACCAAATTTTGCCCGTGTGACGGAGCTCCGTATATTGTAACTGGTTTAGGGACTCCTGTGGGTACAGCGTTTCCTGAATGTACTGTTTGAATACACTGTGAGATGTTGCTTAGGTTCAACACGACAGACATGTTGTTTCTCCTTCCTTTACAGATCCAGAAGAATCATCCCCAGTCTACATGACTTTGACAAGTCTATATTTCTTCATTTTCAGAAATGGACAGATTACGTGTCTGCTTGTTATCGTTGTCATGTTCACTGACAATTATTTGGATACAATATTAATTTTTTTCTTTTCAGACCAAAAATGGTAGCCTGGAGAAGTGTTCTTTAGACGATATCAGAAACGTGTGTATATCACATATAGATCACAGGTGTGTGGTATTTCAACACGTTGTGGATCTGAAAAATGAAAAGGATGAGGATGTGACTTCCTACACTCACTGTATCCAGCTTAGTCTGTCTCACAGTCCCTGAACCACATTATTTTCCCTACTGCCTAGCTCTCTCTGCAGTGCTAAAGCCCTAAATGAAAGCAAGTCTGGATTTCCTCAAGTTCTGAATCGTTGGTCTCACTGGGGCTCCTTTTCAATTTAAATGGGCTTGTTTGTTACTATCAAAATTATATATATTCAGAGACTAAGCATTAGTCTATATCCAGTCCTCGCTGTTCTGATCTGGTGTCATAGCAGCTGCCATTGTTCGGTATCTTCATGCAACTTTTTTCTTAACCACTTATCTTCCCAAACGTATGCGTTTATTCGTGAAGGTGAGCTTTGAGCAATCATTCCCGGTCAATAGCAAAAACAGGTGCTGTTTTTGTGGAGGCCGCCATATTGTTTTCCCAAACTCGTATCGGTGTTGATTTTCAGTGTGGACTGTCCATTTGAACGAATAGAAGTATACTATGTGGAAGTAAGTAATTAAAGAAGAGAATAGTGTGTGGGTTGGAAAAACAATTCCACGCTAATCGGAAATATTGAATCCCTACAGTACAACTTAGATTTTGTAAGTCCATACGAAGAGGACGAACCACAACCCCTCGTTGGCACATTCAGTACACCACGTCTATAACGGACACGGTTACAACGAACAGACGGATATAACGAAATGTTTTGGATGTTCCATGTCACTTGCAATATATTCTATTCAAAATGGGGCGGTGGTTAAAACGTTCGCTCGTCACGCCGAAGGCCCGGGTTCGATTCCCCACATGGGTACCATGTGTGAAGCCCATGTCTGGTGTCACCCGCCGTGATGTTGCTGATATTGCTAAAAGCGGCGTAAAACCATACTCACTCACTATTCAAAATGCGTATAACGGACTACGGTTATAACGAACTAAAATCAGCGATCAATTTGGATTCGTTATAAGCGTAGCTCTCTGTAATAATAAAAAACATGGCAATGCAGATTATGACCAGTATGAAAGAATCGGGCGTCCTTAACATTTTCAGCGGTATACAAAACATGGCATCAAAATGAACGCATGATTGGAAACGGTAACAGCAAGTAGTTCGTGGAATGGTATCTTGTCTCCATGTGCTCAATGTGCGGGTTTAGCCTCCTTAGCATGACTGGCTGATGTACAGTTACATGACGCAGGCCCGTCACTCATGCCGACTCGTACTGCCAGTCCATCACTCCCGTCAGAACAGTGTAACCTTGTCGTAACGTAATAATTAACCACATCCCTGCAGACCACCGTAACACGCTCCCGTTACATGTGTGTACACGTAACATCCAGCACGTGCCGGGGATGTAATGTACAGATGAATGTATGTCAGTCCATCAATGTTGTGGAGTTTTTGGAAACAGATTCGTGGGTATCTTAACAAGTGTACTGAAACTACTATACACTGTAAAAGATGTCTTTAATTTGTAAACCTAAATATGCATCTTCTCCCCGTCCTATTTCTCATCATCATAAACATCACCACCACCACCATCAACATCATCACCTTCCTCCTCCTCCCCATCATCATCATCATCATCATCATCATCATCATCACTACCACCACCACCACCAAGCTCATCATCACCACCACCACCATCATCATCATCACCATCCTCCTTCTCATCATCATCAACATCACCATCAAAATCTTCCTCCTCCTCCCCATCACCATCATCATCATCACCACTACCATCATCATCACCACCACTACCATCATAATCATCACCACCATCATCATCATCATCATCACTACCTCCACCATATTCATCATCATCGCAACAGCACCACTACCATCATCATCATCATCATCATCATCATCACTACCACCATCATCATCAATATCATCATCATCATTGAAGAAAACTTGCAAGGATTCGCAATTAGCTGAAGCCAGATAATATCATCATCAGTTGTAAGATATTCCCTTTAAGAGACTGCGCACAGTTTAACCGTGTCCATGTTGTTAATGGCACGCGGTCAGCTGTCCAAATAGTTCAGCGGACAACTGTATCATCCACGTCGTCCCATGAAGACAGAGTGACGGGCGACACGCGTTTCACTGCATAACAACGTTGTCGCCGTAATTAAACTGTCGACGTAGCCGCGGTTCCCCTCTACGCCGTAAGTCGCAGATCCAGGTTACATCCCATCGTCAACTCACCTGATTTACCGAGTTATTCTACCTGGAATGGTCAATCATGAAGTCTACACAATTATGTACTTTCACTAAGTGGTCACTTTAAGTCCGCCGTTGAAGTGATTAGTGGGATGGTGTAAGATCGACTGAGCCATTGCATATGTCATCGGACAGATGTCGCGAGGAATTGTGGGTAAGATATGGCACAATGAAGACTGCCAAATGACTACGACGGCTTAGAATTCGGACATATTTTATTTTTTGTTGACGTGAAAACCTACTATCGTGTCCATACATCAGTTGACCAGCCACAAGGTACATACGTGTATCTGAGTTGGGAGACCCACGGGTTACTTTAAAACCATCATATTATATCCATTCATCAACGGTATTCCCTTATAATCTCATCATGTCGTCGGGGACAACGTTACCGGAATATATTGTAACATTGTAGGGTTAGTTATGTTTGTGAGGACATATACAATTTAACATACATACAGAATACCTTCTTGATTAATGAGATGAATGCTGATAAAATTATGCTATGATGTTGACATAGCCGATGGTTATTTTA